CATAAGAATATTGACTTTGAAAAAAGTGGGGGTCACCAGGTTAATTTTCGAGAAAATCGTGGTTGTATTTTAGTGGATAGCGGCCATTTTGGCAGTATTATAGTGCTTTTACCATAGGTTCCTATGGCAGAGATATTATGCCATATCTCAAATTGTAGGCTGGTGACATAGGCTGAAAAAATAATATATTGTTAATGATGGCCTACTTTTTGTTTTCCTGAATTTTTTCAAAAATCTGGGTTTTAAAAAGTGTTGAAAAATGCAATTTTTGTTTAACATTGCGCTCTATGGAATTGTTCTAAAAATAGCTAAAGCAAGTTCTATAGCAGGATTATGGTAAATGACTTGTATTGTCACTTTCTTCTCAACAGAGTCATTTTCAGTTATCGTTTTGTCCTGGTCCTGGATGTGATATTGTATTGAAAGCTGAACAGCCAGCAGCTAAAAGGGCTATCTGTACAAAGTGCAATAATTCATTCTGGTAAGTAGATCTTCCATAGAAATGTCTTCAACTGCTCAAATCAAATCTTAGCATCATGGTAAATAAACATTGATCACATAAAAAAAAAAAAACTTTGAAAAGTTTACAAAACTACAAAAACTACGTGATGTACTTGTCCACGTCAGATAATACCACTTTTCTTTCCAACAAGCATTCAATTTTTGTCAGTTAAAGTGATTGTACATATAACAAAAAAGACTGATCTTTGATCTTACCATTAAAACATAAATCAAACATCTTCTTGCGAGAACATAGTGGATGCTTGTGCTAGACAGTAACAGGGCAGTCAAATATGGTATACCAGTAAATGACTACTGGTAATCTAGCTTCAACTTCGCATGTACATGAGATGAATGTGGTTTCTACTTGACAGTGATGTTACCACTTGAGTGGCTATGGAACAACTTAGACAGTTTTGTTCTTAACACATTAATAAAATCAATAAAAAAAGGTTTCCACAGCCCATGTGTCACAGGCGAAAATTGTATAATATAGTTTTGAAGACCAGTAAGGTTGAGTAGCACTGTATTGTCCATCCCTGCTGCAGTTTGAATTGATCCAGAATAGGTGTTTACCTGATGTGTCTGCACCAGCGAGTCTAAAGTTTTATATTTTTGAGACCAGCTGTAATACCTGGTGAATTTCTCAGTGGCAGCTTTAAATTATCACTGTTGAAACCAAATAATGTTTTGGATATCTGTGTAGGCGATAATGCATAGCAATCTGTCAATTATGGAATCAACACAGTTGTCATCAGAATGCATGCAATTCAGTCATTTTGCCTTTACTTGCAGTTTTAAGTGCAAGCTACACTACCATGCCCCAACAGAATGTGAAGTTATCAAAAAATGGTTAACCAAATGTCGAGATGACTCTGAAACTGCAAACTATATTAGTGCACATACGAAAGATGTAAGTACCCTGGTAACTAATATTTCTTTTTTTTCATGTTTTTTAAGAATTGAAGAATAGGTTATTCTTGCATGTTACTGGTTTTGTTTCTTTACTCCAGCAGGAGCATCTTGAACTGCTATAGCTATTTGGATGAATTATGTAATCCATGCACACTATTAACAATGAATGCTGTATTTTATTTTATTATTATTATTATTTTATTTCCATTTCTCTAAAGAAATATACCCCACTAACTTGGGGGAACAGGTTACAATGCGAAAGTTACAGGCGTGACTTTAATCGCCTCAATAAAATAAAGTATTATATATATATATATATATATATATATATATATATATCACACACATATACAACTCATCTATTGGAGAACTCACACTAACAAATTATATCTAATCTGAAAAGCTGTGTAAACAAATCTTGCAATAATTTGGATGATTTCATGGTTATCCTGAGAAAAAATATATGTAAGTTTACAGATAGGCGAAAGGAACTCGAATTGTGGTTCAATGCGGTTAATTCGATCAAAAAGCGGTTTGAATATTGAATATGTGCCAATGACTTTGAATACTGTAGAATACTTTATTTTAGCTGGAATTAATTTTCACTGAAAAGACTTTTTGGAATTAGTTGAATGTAAAGTATAGGAAAAAAGGTATATTCACTGGATTTTATTTTCACTGAATCATTCCCTCAGCGAACATAGCGAAAATAAAGGATTCTACAGTAATTTGCATCTTTCAAAAAGGATGCCCAAATTGGAATATTAATGGTGCTATATACACTGTGAACGCTACATCATATCCACCATATTTTAACAATCATGATAACAGAATATTGGAATAAAACAATAAAAAAACTCCCTTAATTCCATCAACCATTGGTACATTTGTTTCCCACACTTAAAATCAATGGTGGCTGTCAATTTGGTTACAATTTGGTAACATGTATCAAACTCAACTCATTGTATTTTTTGTTCTACAGTGCCCTAAGTGCAGTGTTTGTATAGAGAAGAACGGAGGATGTAACCATATGGTAAGATAATTGGATGTCACTGCATGTGCGCATGTTAAATTTCTTTCATTTGATTGGACAACATGTATGTAATACCATTGTCATACTTGCAATTTAAATATTTCTAATTTTGTTGTTTCTTTTCAGCAATGCTATAAATGTAAACATGATTTCTGCTGGATGTGTTTAGGAGGTATGTTCTAATTATATGTTTCCCCATTGTGGAGCACAGCTTTATATTTTTACAAAAGGTGGTTGTAGTGACACATTGTGTGTGTGTGTGTGGGGGGGTTGTAGTGATGCATTGTATTTAGTATGGAGGGGTTCACATGCGACATATGTAACACATGACAAATTCATTGCTTACACAAATACAAATACACACTTCACAATGACCTATAATGTTAATCTGTTAGTGAACTTGTCTGACTTGGTGTTCAGGGTTCTCAGCTTAAAAAACCTTGTGCTTATTCGAGCAAATGAATATGTTCAACCATCATGTGCCATTGTGAAATGAGTTCTGTCATCATTATTGATTTCCACAACACTTTTACAATGAAGAAACAGAAATATGCACATTTTATTATAATATGATTTACATACCATCAGACTTCATGGAGTAAAAATTATGGTCTGTGAAAAAAATAGTTGAGAGCTTCATCATCATTTTCATTGTTGAACCTTTTCAATTGTTATGCAAACTCTTCTCGCAAGCAGTTTCCACCATGATGTTTCTTTTGCATGATTTGACCTGCAACAATGCCTTCTGACCTGACCTAACAGGTCAAGTCTGTTATGAATCAATCAGAATTATCTGGAATTTTCCAATTATGGCCATTTTTACAACACAATGCTGAAGTGAATTACGGATGTTTAAATGTGACTCTTGCAATAGGCGTTTTCTGGTAAAGCTGATCCAATGGATATCTACTTCTCATTGCTCATATTTATTCTCAGAGTGAAATGTGTAAAAGAATTTCTTGAAGACTATTGTGCAGACTTTCATACTTTGTCTCATGCCAAAAACCACTGTGTTGCATAACACATAAGCTGATGTATGAAAATTCATTGTTATTGACCACCTGAAAATGGTATGGATTGCTAGTAGGCTTGCAATTGCCAGTAATCATTTGGTTCAACAAATATTGTGGCTTAGTGATATTCAGGAGTTTGATATCACTTAGTAGTTTTCTGCAGCCTGCAGAGTTCTCTTGAGAAAGAGCGTATTTCACAGATACCGGTATTACTAGGCTTGAAATTTACTGTTATTTGATGTGTCTATAACAGTATGTATCTTCCTATATCAGTCATTCTCATTGATGTCTTGTTTTACTCCATGCAGACTGGAAGAACCACGGCAGTGAATACTATGAATGCAGTCGTTATAAAGAAAATCCCAACATAGCTAATGAATCAGTTCATGTTCAAGCCAGAGAAGCACTCAAAAAATATTTATTCTATTTTGAAAGGGTAAGAATTTTAACATTTTTTAAATAATTAATATATGTATTAACGTTTTTTCAGAGACTTGTCCATTGACTGTATTTATTTCTCTTGACCTCACTTAGTGGGAAAACCATTCTAAGAGTTTAAGATTAGAAGAGGAGACATTTAAAAAGATTAATCAAAGAATAGAAGATAAAGTGATGAAGAATGCTGGTACCTGGATTGACTGGCAGTATCTATTGGATGCTGCTGCATTATTAGCTAAAGTAATTTTTTTTTTCATAGTCTTTATTAGTCCCCGTTCGGACGTAGTCGGGGACTTATGGTTTGCCCTGTGTGCATCCGTGATCACCTGTATCTCAAACATGCATGGACCGAATCGCACATTTTCACCATTCCGGACCCGGATCTCAGTTATGCATGGACGGATTTTGTTCAAATTTGGTACATACATTAAACATAATAGGACCTTGATGCACGTCATTTTTTGGGGGGGGATCGGGTTTGAAATGGCCGACTGGCGGCCATTTTGTTTTAAAGAATTCAGTTCTGGATCCGTATCTGAGACATGCCTGGATTGATCGAGTTCAAACTTCACACACACAAGGTACATCCTGTCACAAATATGTATGTGCATTTGTTTCATGATCTCATTAACGATAGCTGAATGATGGCCATTTTAAGGCCGAAAATGCATCAAAATCACATATTTTCACAATTCCGGAACCAGATCTCAGTCATGCATGGATGGATTTTGTTCAGATTTAGTACAATGTGTTGTACATATGCAGGTGCATTTCGGATTAGACCACTGAAAGTGGTCTGAGATTTCGGTCATGATTTGCTTTGAATGTATATGTCACGCAAATATGAACGGAACGGGGACGTGTCATTGACAATGACTTGTATCATACTACTTTAATAGTGTTCTGCCACAGCGATTACCATTGGTCAAAAGCGTGTTCATGATTTTCTGATTAACAGATGATTTATTTTCACAGTCAAGCTTGACCTTATTACTGTACCTCAAGTGGAATTTCCTCCAACACAATTAAAAAACTAAAAAAAAACTATCTCAGTCCCAATCAAACTGAAGTCTTGAGCGGACATCCAATTTATTGCCTATGGTCATAAATGACACAATGCTGTGAGTGTTACAGTGCAGATATACAGATAATGACGCCACATTGATTGCGGTGGAACGGTTTTGTTCACACTATCAAATTAATATATATTATGCAAATGATATACTTAATAAATCAAAGCAATGATCCCACTATGTTTGGTCAAAATTCTTGGGAGAACACTGTATCACCAATAAATCTGGCTGTTCAGACATGAAATCCTACACGTAATATTATATTTTTTGTAGTGCCGATATACATTGCAGTACACCTACCCATATGCTTATTTTATGGAAGCAGGACCAAGAAAGAAACTGTTTGAATATCAACAAGCTCAACTAGAAGCTGAAATAGAGAACCTCTCATGGAAAGTAGAAAGAGCTGAGACAACTGATAGAGGGGTATGTACAAGAGTGTAATCATATTTCTTCTTTTCATTATTTGGATAAGCAGATCTACTGAAGTGCAGCTGAGACCAGTGTGTCCTCTAAGCTGATAAGCACATCAATGACATTCAAAAATTTGCCATGATGCAACTAATGGTACTACCGTAATTCTCTGGTGCATCGTTGATGGAACAGTAAATCGTACATTGATATAGTGATATTGAAAAACATCTTACTAGAGAATTTCAGTTAAATGAAAATCACATTTTAGCCCACACTGATTTAATTTTATAGATGACATCCTCTGAAGACCCCAAAACTAATGCGAGAGGGCGAGAAAAAAAATTCGGCCAAAAAAAAAATGCTGCTAAAACAACAGGACTACGGAGCTATTATTACGAATTTAACCACAGTGTATCAAAAAAACAACAAGTCTTAATTTGTAGGAGGCACATGCTGATGTACACATTTCGTACTGTATTACTGTCACAGGTATCATCACCTTTGATTTTGAAAAGGCAAGAGGATAAGGCAGATGTTAGCTTTGCCAAAGGCATACACATCAACTCAATAATAAACATATGAAAATTTGTGCTTACAACTGGTTTTAATCCGTGTCGAAACGTG